CTGACTTTCTCGCTGGTCCAGTTGCTATTTTCTTCATCCTCAGGCACAGAACTCTTGAAGGCTATAGGCTATATTCTCACTTGGCCACTACCTATCCTTCCTTAGCTGCCCTAAAAGCTTTTCTTGATTACTTTCTTTCGGCAAGGGCAGTTGTAGTTGAAAAGAAGAGAATCCGTCGAGGATCAGGGGGCAACTACTACTATTATAAGACAGACTTGGCTTCAGACGGACCAATGCCCTTCCTTGATCTTTCAACTCATAGATCAAGATCATTCGCACCTTCTTCAGTGTAAAGCTTAGTGAAAAAATCCGTAGCCATATTCTTAATCACGTCCTCTTCATAAATCCATTCATCGCACTCGTCTCTAATATCACCAATTAGGCCCTTGGCCACTGGAGCCAGATTCTCCTTCTCTCCCTTCGCCACCGTAGCCGTAGCGATCTCTTTGTTCTTCTCATTTTTCCTTCCATCACCAGTGTTGGTAACATCTATCTTCTTACCCTCTGCTACACGTGTGTCAGATTCCTTGTATATGCTAAGGCTGTTTTCCGTCGGCACAAAGTCTTCCTCGGTCTCCGCAATAGCGGCAAAAGGGGACTGTGTCAGAGGTACAGTCGTTGACTCTCTTCTCCCCATGTTATTTCCTCTTTTCTGAGTTACTTTACCATTGGCCTCTGTCATTTTCGTACGGGGCCTTGTCGTTTTCTTGACCAAGGTCCAAACTCATCAATCGTCTCCGGTGGTTGGTCGGTCGTCGCTGGATTCTGCGGAGGTTGCATTGCTCCTTCCTCCATCTCTTCCGCATTGAATCATCAGAGGTAGGCGTAGGCGTAGGCTCTGTATTTTGACTCATCCACGGGCATTCCTCTCTTCGGTGGCCATACCGGCCACAATGGAAACAAATTGGATTCATTCCTGAATATTCAATATCCAGAACTCAGTCTCGAACAATCAACCTGGAAGTGAGCTTTTTCTGGAGATCTATCTCAATGCTAACCCTTGCATACTTGCCCCTCTCCGTGCTGCAGTTCATCCCCTGATCCCTAGCCAGAGTAGCAATGTCCACTTTAAGAGTCTTCCCCAGTTTCCACAATCATTCTTCATAGTTGCAATTCATGGGAAGGTTAGGTACACGTATCCATATGGGAACTTTGCCAAGAGCATTGCTCAGTGGGTTGAACTTTGGTGTCCATCTCTGTATTACCAAGTAATGACCAAGCACCACCCACGGCCCTCCATGCAAGACTGTGAGATAGTCCCTGTCCGTAGCGAATCTAGCCACCAGGGCACAAAATATCTATCAGTTCAAAGTTGAAAATCTTCCAGAGGCGGGATCCTTGAGATTTCTGAAACTAAGTTTCTTGCCAAGAAGGGTAAGCACTAAAGCTTTCCTCCATGGCTTACAGGATTTCCTCCATTCTTCATCCGTGACCTCCAGAACCGGGTAAACTTCCATCATCTTTTTAAGCTCCTCAGTAATAGTGTACGAGCAAAGATCTTCCTCATTCCATATTTGCTCGTCAGCTTCCACAAGGGCTTCACATTCTTCATCAGTCTTGCCCAGGAGGGAGTCCCTGTAGGAGATAGGCTTTTTACCAGTGCTAGTACCGTTGGATTCACTATTTCCCTCAGTACTAGGTTTTCCTCTTTCATTGCTTTACTAATAGCTTGACTTTTTCCCTTCCTGCAGCTTATGTGCAAAAACCAATCAACTGACTTGTCTGCTTACAAGGTTCAAAGTACAAGGAAAAAAGAAAGCGGAGGCAAAAGCCACTATCTTATCTACATACGCTATCGATTGAGTAGCGAGTAGAGAATAAAGATTTAGCGAGAAAAGCAGCTTTCCCAGATAGAAAAAAGGAGATAAAAAAGCTCTTCAGGAAAGCCAACTCCAACTCAAAGTGTCCTTTCATTCTTTTTCACGTGCATAACCTGCCCTCTGCCGATACAAGGCACTAGCCAATGCAGCATTCTCGGAAACTTATAACAGTCTCGCTATAGCTTTATGAATGCCAGATTGATCCTAGAAGCTTTTTTTTACTTAGATTTAGGGTACACTAGATAAGCAACTCTATGTTATCCCTAGTAGGGCTTGTAAACGTCTGGGAATGGAAAAGACTGAAGGAAGGTAAACTTTTCTCCCACGGTATAGAATGGAGAAGGGCTTAATGGACAGATTTTTGTTCTTTAGTTCGATTAGGACCTCCGAATCCCCGCATTCCTTAGCTCTTAAGCCAGTGAATGTGGAGCTCAAGAAGGTGAAGGTCCTCGATATCCAAGTCTCTTATCCTTTAATCCAGAATCTAGCAGCAGAGATGGTTAATGAAAGTAAGCCCACTGATAGAGGGCTGGCCGAAGCCTCCCATG